TACGACATACAGGTATACCGTGATTTACTATCTACTATCTGATTGATTTTTTTTTTCTAAATATACATATATATATCGGAATATTATATGCATATTAGCATTTTACGTGATATGCTAATATGTCGTTCTTTTTTTGTTGTCTTTTCTTTTTCCCCCCTATTGCATTCCCTTTTTATACACAATCGATCTGTTCTTTTTTTTTTTCCTGCAGTAATTGTTTTATATATAATGTGCATCTTTTTATTTTCAAACGTGCATTCTGAGATTATTAAATGTGCATAATTGGACATATGCGTATGGCGTTTTAACACGTGATTTGTGTATTTTGTACGAAGGTTATGATTTGTTTTCATATTGGAATGCCCATTATTTTTGTTGTTTACCATTCGTTATGTCCACAGATTAAATATTGTGCATTATTCTTGCATATTTGTTCTATCTGATAAAGTTAGTGGGTACGCGTGTAAAGACCATTATACATTGTTACCCGTTTTTTGTGTCTTTCAATACTTGTTATTGTTAATTTCTTGTGTTGGATGTCTTAATTTGTTCTTTCGACACATAATTGACTTTTTTTCCCCCTTTTTAGTTCAAGAATAAAGACTGCATTATATGATGTTCATTTGTGCATTACAATTGACATAAGTGTGCATTAACACATATTGATTTAATATGTACTTTGACAGGCGTATGTTCAGGAGTTTGCATCCAAAACTCGACTTCTTGCCACTACTGGAGTCCAAATATTACAATTGTTCGAAAAGGCACCTCAAGTTCTTTTGGGAGATGGGAACTTTGCGAAAATGCACGATGCGGCTCAGAAGCTACTTGGTGTGCATAGTGAGGTGCCACGTGTTAAACCCAACCACCCCGGTCCAAGTCAACATCGCGACACATGTGCTGAAAACGACGACGTATCGAAGGACTACGCGAAGGGTGTTGCATCACAGCTAGCCGATGACGTGTTCTGGAATGATCCTGACACATTAGCGATGATAGATGAGATTATGAAAGCGGTCGAGCAGCGGGATCGCTTCATGA